CCGCCACGGCGCGGGCCGCGGCGGCCGCGGCGGCGGGCGCCAAGGGGCGGCTGGGGGACGAGTGCGGGGAGCTGGTCGCGGCGGCGGGGCTGGTGGGGGAGGTGATGGCGCACGGGCTGCGGCAGGCGGCGCCGGCGGGCGGCGGCGGCGGCTGGGGCATCGCCGGCTGGCTGTCCTCGCGGCGGGTGACGCCGTTTGCGGTGAGCCGCGCGCGGCGGGGCGTCAATCAGCTGATAGCGTGCATGCGGCAGCGCCTGGCGCGTGCCTGCAGAGCCTGCGACGTGCGGGGCGCGCGGCGGCGCCTCCTGATCTGCCGCCTCAACCGCCGACCAGCCTGAGTGACAAGCCTGCTGGCAGCCTGCGCCGCACCCTGCGCGCGCAGCAGCCAACCCGCCCCCCACCGCAACGCCGCCGCAAATCAGCCTGCATGCCTCATCAGGAATCCAGCCCACTTCAGCACCTCTTTCAATGTCCAACCATCCGCACAGGTCCTCCTAGCCCTTGAAGCCGGCGCCAAGGGCGCGCCGCGGGCCCTGCTGGGAGCGGAGGGCATCGCCTCCATGGCCGCCGCCCGCGCCGCCGGTGACGCCGCGCGCCTCGACTTGTGGGTCCGCGCGTCCCTGAACGAGCAGCTGCTCGGCAGCCGCCTGGCCGCGCTGGCTGGCGGCGGCGGCGTGGACGGCGGCGGCGGAGGCGGCGGCGGCGGCGCGCCTGCGCTGCGTGCGTGGTACGAGCCGGGGGCGGCGCTGCTGCAGCCGCGGGCGGCGGCGGTTGTGGAGCCGGCGGCGGCTGCGGGGCGGCAGCCGCAACAGCAGCAGCAGCAGGAGCAGGAGCAGGAGCAGCAGCAGCAGCAGCAGCAGCAGGGCGGGGAGCTTCAGGCATTACTCGAGGCGCTGCGGCAGCTGGACAGGCACCGCTTCGCCTTGCGAGTGGATGCTGCCGGCCCGGCAGCCTCTGCCGCCACCGAAGCTGCCCCTGCAGCCGTGGCCAACGGGACCGCGGCGGTGTCCAGTGGCGGCGGCTGCGGCGGCGCCCTGTCCACCTTCCAGTGGCCGTCGGCCGTGCAGCCCGCAGGCCGGCGCCGCGTGCCCGCGATCGCGGACGGCGCGGGCCCGGGCGCGGCCGGCCGCGCGCCGGGGGAGGAGGATGAGTCAAGCGACGCGCTGTCGCCGCTGTCGACTTCGGACGACGCGGGCGGCCCTGATTGGTGGACCGGCGGGCCGCTGCCGTGGCATCAGATGATGAAGGACAGCCTAGCCTCCCAAGGCAGTGGCGGCACCGGCGTCAGCGGCGGCGACGGCGCAGGCGGCGGCGGCGGCGGCGCGGCGATTGAGAGCGGGGCGCGTGCCGGCTCGTCGGCGTCGGCGCAGCTGCAGCTGCAGCTCGAGGCCGCGCTCGCGGCGCCGGTGCCGGCACTGCTGCAGCGGCGACGCAGCCTGCAAGGAGGTGCGGTGGGCTGCCGGCCGGCCGGCCGCGGGCGGGTGTGTCCTGCAGGTGTCCCCTGGTGCTTGCTGTGCCAGTTGCTCGCTGGTTGGGAGCAGGCTGCACGCTTAATTGCTAGGATTGATCTCGATGCTTTCAATAGGTTTTGTGGGACATCATCACGTGACAAGCCCCCTGCTGGCCTAGCATGCCAGCAAACACAACAGCACCGGCTCGCGTGCGCGTCGCCCAACGGCCAACCCCGCCCCCTCCCGCTGCCTCCCGACTCAAGCTCAACTCGCGAGCGGCGCCCCCTCGAAATTCCACACTCTCCGCAGCAGCCTCGCTCGTGACGGCGCGCTCTACTGGAAGCCTGAGGGACAAGGCCGGCAGCCCAGAATTCGCCGAGGCCCTCGCCGCCGCCGCGCGCCGCACGGGCGCCGGCCCCTCGCCCCTCGCGCCCGGCGGCGCCGGGGTCGTGGTAACGGGGGCGGCGGGCCTGGGGCCGGGGGTGGGGCGGCACAGGCACAAGCGCAGCAGCAGCTTCAACGATTTGGCAGAGTTGCAGGCCCAGGTTGCGGCGGGGCAGCGGTGACGCGTCGCGCCGCTTGCCTCCTCCCTCGAAACCGCACGGTGGGTTTGGGGGTTAGGGGGTAGGGGAAAGCGTGACGCCTGTGCAGGGGCCCTACAGAGGGGGGGGGTCAGCCGGGCAGGGCAACCCAGCCCCCTGCACGCCCCCACAGACCCGGTTGTATGGGCCGTTTTGAGCCGGTTGTTTTTTCACCACAGCCGCGGGGGCCAGCGTTGCTGCGCGCACACTTGCCCGCGGCAACTGGGTTGTGCGATGGGGCGAGCCGTGTGCAGAGAGCTGGTCTCCTTTGACGTTTGATGGCGGCATGCTGGTTGGCGGGAAACACGTGGGACGAAGCATGGCTTGCAACCTGCGGCCGCAGCGGAAAGCTCACCGATGCAGGCGGGCAGCAGCGGTGATCTGAGAAGCTCGAATCGCTTTGACAGCACTGCGCATCGCCCTGCACTCCCCGATCTCTTGATGGTGCCCCTTGAACTGCCCGTTGCAGTGAGATTCGTGTCCTTGTGCTTCCATTTGCAGTGACGTGTGTGATATTCATGTGCATGTACAATTACATATTCAGCACACTCCTGCAACTGTTCAGAAAGGGGAGTCAAGTGCAACGGGAGATGAACAAGCACATATAGAGGTGTGCTGCTGCATGCAAGTGTCATACTGTGTAAACGGCAGGCGCACCGCTCAACAATGGGTAGGATACAACCGCAAGTTTCGGTAGATAAGTACAAGTGCAGCAGCCCCGCTTGCAATAAGCAGCAACTTGCCTGGCTGGCCGCTCAACTCTGGCCGCCTTGCTGCCGTGCCACTGCCCGGGCCAGGTGCGCCGCCATCAGCGCGGGGCTGATGGCGTGGCCCCCCAGGAGCGCATTGATGCGCGACAGCCCGGCCTCCGCGCCCCTGCCGACCGGCCGTTCCAGGGGCACGCCGCCGGCCGCAGGGCCTCGAATTTCAGTTGCCAGCAGCCCAGCTGCCGCCTTGCCCGCGCTGCCGCACGCATCCGCGGCCGCAGGGCCGCGCGGCAGCGCCGCAAAGGGCGGCGGCGGCGGGCGCGCGCCGGGCGCGTACACGCCTGGGACCGCCGAGTCGACCTCCAGGAACAGCCAGGCCGCCCGCGAGCCCCGCACCACGCGCACCTGCCGCACCGCCCCCGTGCCGGCGCACAGCACGCCGCAGCCGCTGGTGCCCTCCAGGCGCGTGTCTGCAATTGCAAGGCGACCGCTGCCGGCGGCGTCCCCGGCGGCGGCGGCGGCGTAAGCGCCAGCGGCCGCGCCCGTTCGACTGCGGCACGGGCTACTTGGGGCGTCCTGCTTCCGCTGCCGCTGCTGCTGCTGCTGCTGCTGCTGCTGCTGCTGCTGCTGCTGCTGCTGCTGCTGCTGCTGCTGCTGCTGCTGCTGTGGATGCTGACCGGCCCATGCTGCCGGCCCCGACACAGCGGCGGTGATGATGGGCGCGAGGATGTGATCGAGCCCCCCGTTGTCGCAGCGCAGCGCGCACGACTCGACGTGCAGCGTGCCGCGCCTAAAGGTTGAGGGGAGCAGCGAGAGGGGGCGTTGGATGGCTGCGGCGCAGCAGCAAAGCTGCCCTAACGTCCCCAGGACCCTGCAGGCAGGCAAACCCGCGCCATATTCCCCAGAAACGCCCACTTCTGTTGCACAGCCATCCCAGGCCCCTCTTTTGACCAGATCGGTCACCTGTGCAGGATGCACGGCCCGAGCCGCGACTCGATCGCCACCCCAATGATCTTGGCGCTGGCGCCAATATCGAGCGCCGCTTCTCCAGATGGCGAGGCGAGCAGCGTGCTGCCGGCGCCCGCGCCGCAGATGTGCAGCGGCCAGCGCACGCGGACGCAGGGTGCCTCGTGGCGTACGTGGGGCGCGAGCCAGATCGTGTCACCAGGCCTGGGCAGAAGGACATCGAGCGGAAGGATCCAGGGGTGGGGCCGGCAGTGGTGGGAGTGCTCGGCATCACCTCGACACGGCGACACCTCGACACGGCGACACCAGGCACGCCGTCCAAAGCAGTGCGATGCAGTGCCACATCGATCTTCAGGTGGCCGCAGCCACGCCCTCCTCAGCAGCTGCAGCTGGTGGTGGTCGGGCGAGGGTCATGCTCCGCGCCCGGCCCGCGGCCGCACCTGCTGGCTGCCACCGCCCCGGCCAGCGAGGTGAAACGGGGCCCTGCGCGCCCCGACGGCGTGCCCGCCGCGTCGACAGCGTGCGGCGCGACGACGAGCCAGCGGCCCTTGTCTGTTGCGACGCGCCGCAGGCGGCGGCAGGTCAGCGCGGCGTTGGCGACGCCGGGGAATGGATCCAGGAATAGCAGGACCTATGGGCGGGAGTGGCACCACATATGAGTGTTTTGGCAGCTAGAGAAGCGACCTTTTCGGAAAAAGATGAGAAGCACTATGCACGCGCCCGTCTTGCGGTTGCCATGCGCTGTGCGTTTGAGCTGCAACCAAGGAGGGCGCCCCTGCAGGTGTGAAGGGGCATGTTCGCAGCGTAACCTTGTGTAAGGCTGTACCTTTGACAGAAGCGCGTCGTCCAGGTCGCAGAGCGTCGCTGCGCCGGCGCTAGTGGGGCCGCCACCGCTGGTCCCGCAGGCCTGGCGGTGACAGCGGGCGTTCAGTTGCAGAGCAAGCCATGCTGGGCGCTTTAGAGCAGCACACGGCATCAAAGCGCCTTGCTGATTGCGAAAGATGTGCCATGCAACGCGTTCAACCGCGCAGGGACCACAAGAAACTCGGAATAAGCAGGACTGCACAAGATGTGACCCACACAAGCTCACCTGGCGCTTCATGCTAAGCTCCTCCAGCAACTTTGCGTGCACTGGTGCGCTTACAGCCCTTCCAGCGCTGCGACAAGCCAGATCACGTTGACAGTGATGGGTTGTGGTGTGAGCAGGTGCTGCTGCTAATTATAATATGTATGCGCATGAGTTAGGGAGCGCGTAGTCTAGGTAACTCATGTCTAGAAGTGGTGCAGTGCCACTTTTGGTGGCGTTGCTTTTGCCAGGCCCTGGTGGGATCCTCGTGCGTTGAGGTGTGGTGTGCGCTGCTCACCAAGGCGTGTGTGTGTGGAAGCACCGCAGCAGCGTGTGTGCACATAATTGGTGCACTTGGCGCGTTTCAGCGTTGTGCTATGGGCATGTGTGAACATGCGCATGGGGATGCAAGGGGAAGCAGCTTCTCACTTGCTTGCCTGAAGTTTGCATGTGAGCGCGCGCTTACGGCCGCCTGCACTGTTTGCCCACAGCCTACCCCAGCCATGTGCTGCAAGATCAGAATCTGCACAAAATATCTATGGCTCAGGCCCCGTTTCTATGGACTTGAATCACCGTGGAATCACTGGCTAATCAAGCTTGAATCACCAATGACCCGTTTCCATACCCCTCAAATCAACCAAATCACCGCAAATCACCGCGAATCACTTGAATCAGTGAATCATTTTACTCGCCCCCCAAAAATGCAGGCGAGTCGATGTGAATCACCTGGAAACGTGTGAAATGCTTGTTATCACATCGACAAACCTATATATGGGCCCCACAAATCACCCTGCGCCCTCCAGTGTGCAGCAGGGCCTTGCAGGAAAGGTCATCATCGCACCAGCGGCCTGACGCCCATATACAAGCAGCAAAAACCAATACTGTCGTATTATCGTATCATATTAATGGGGCTGCAGGACCTAAGCTTGAGGCGCAATCCCAATCACTTCGTGGGTGCAGAAACGAGCACAAGCTGAATCAAATGCAAATCAGCGTGCAATCAGCGACCAGCGAGTGCTGCGTTAGCCACCGATCAAGCGATTTTGTGATCTTATGTTACCGAATTCGACACCAGCCAGTTGTTTGGTTCACCTGCCACTCCAAGTGATTTGGTGATTCAGTGATTCGGCTCCATAGAAACGGGGCCTCAGTTGACCGGCCAGCTTTGGTCAACCGGCCAGCTTTGGTCAATTGGGTGCAGGACAAGCACGCACAGCGGCACGAGTACGCAAAAACAAACGTGATGGCCGGCAGCGTTGCATCTCTTGAGTGGTATTGTCTAATGGAACGTATGATAAGGGTGCCGCCAGCAGGAGCACGTCAGCTTTCATCTGGCGTATGCTACGTGCATGCTGATTGAGGTATCCCCGCCCATACCCATTTATGCTCTTGGCCATGAGCATGCTTTTGTAAGCCTGGACGAGTCAGGGGCCGCTGGCCGGCAGTGGGTGGCTTGGGTGGCGCGGGTGGCGGGCCTGGTCACACTCGGTCACCCAAGGCCCCACGATCAAGAGTGCAGCAATCCTGACTTCCACACAATGTAACAAGCAGATATTGTTTCCGTAAAACATCTTACAATCCTCGCAATTGACCGGGATTCGACGATCATTCGTGCTCGAATCCACGATTCGGCCTTGAGAGCACTTGCGCAACCATTTGGGCACTACATTGGTCCATTTACCGCAGGTATTCGGCCCTCGCACCATGGCCACTTCGCCCAAAGCGCAGCAGCACCACTCGCCGCCGCCGCAAGTCTTGGATCAGAACGCCTCTGCAGCCGAGGGCGAGCTGCAAGACAGCGTGCAGCGCACCTGCAGCGGCGCCTGCGCCCTACGCGCAGTGGAGCTGCTGCGGTCCCCCAAAGATGCGATCCTTCGCGACGAGTTGGCGCTTCGCATGGCTGGGCCGCGCATGGTGAGCCAGGAAGGCGGCAGTCCAGGCAGCAGCCAGGGGAGCGCCTGCCCGATGCCCGCGCTGGCAGCAGCTGGTGCGGGATCCAGGGATCAATACATTTGCGAATATTGATGCTTGCACCACGTGTGTCACGCTTGCTGACAACACCCGGCGCCCTCCGTGCCTGTGCCCGCCCTCCTGCCTCCGCCACCTGCACCCCCAGCTGCGTTGGTTTGGGGAGCGCTGGGACGCCTGGGAGGCAGCGGAGGGCCCGGGCAAGCACTCGTACTTTGCCGGGCGGGCGCGCGTGCTGGATGAGTTGGTGCAAGAAGCCGCTGCTGCCCTGGCCGCGCGCACGGGCGACCATGCTTCCGCCCCGCCAGGGGCGCCTGTTGATGAGGCCAGCGGCGGCGGCGGCAGTGAAGCGGGAGGCAGCGGCGGCAGCGGCGACTTGTGCGTGCAGGTCGTAAGTCTGGGTGAGTCCTTTGGGCAGGCTGGGCCAAACGAATAGCAAGCTTGAATCCAGCACGCCTAATACAAACTTGTTCATTGGGCCATGAGCGGCCGGTGTTCGGCCCTATCCGATCGTGCCAGCTGAGCTTTGTTCGCACAGATCGCGCCCCGCTCACTTCGCCCGGACCCCCCAGGCTGCGGCATGGACACGCGCCCTTGGCGGCTGGGCGGCCTGCCAGCTGGCACCGCCTGGTTTGACGTCGACCAGGCGCCAGTCATCGAGCTTAAGGACAGGTTCCTGCGGGAGGCAGGCGCAGAGCTGGGGCCCTCGGCGGCGGCGAGCGGCGGCGGCGGCAGCGGCAGCCAGCAAGGGGCGGAGGCAGGAGCGGCATTCACGTTGAAATGCAGCTCGTACCGGCAGGTGCGCTCGGGGGCGCGCGGCCGCGGCTGCGGACGGAAGTTCAACAACCAGCGTCGACTCGTTGGCAGCCGCATGTTTCAGCTGTCAAGCTGACCTGCTGCGGCTGCACGGCCCGGTATGCAATGTTTCAAAAATAAGTACCCATGTGCCACTGCTGCCAATCAATCACCGCATGCGTATGCCACAGGTGGTGTCTGACCTGTCGCAGCCGGGGCTGCAGCAGCAGCTGGAGGCGGCCGGCTTTGACCCAGCCCTGCCCACGCTGTGGGTGCTTGAGGGTGAGCGCCGCCGCCCCCGCATCAACAACAGCACAGCTGCAGGAGCATTACTTTGTCTGCGGCCGCAGGAGACGCCTGGCGGACCACTGTCACGCCCGTGGCTGGTTGCGGTGGTGTCCTGCACCGCAGCCAACAAGCTCTCCTCCCTTGCCGCATAGTACTACCCCCACCACTCAGCCTGCCACACAACCTTCATCACAATCACCAACCCACCGCGATCCGCAGGCCTCTGCTATTACCTGCCGTTGGACGCGAACGCGCGCCTGCTGGCCGACGCCGCGGCCGCCAGCCCGCCGGGCAGCCGCCTGCTGGCGACCCACATTCCCCGAGAGAACCTGGACGCGAACCGCGCCTGCCAGCCGGGCGTGAGCGCGCTCGGGGGGCTGTTCACGGTGTGCATCGATGACGTGCAGGCGGACGGCATGCTGGGGCGCGCCGGGTGGGGAGATGTCGTCGTCAGCGGGGACATAGGAGAGGAGGTTGTGTCGCGGTTTGGGGTCGAGTCTTACTACCCTTACAGCCTGGAGTATTCTGGTGGCCGCAAGCTGGGGGGCATCGAGGTAATTTTGCAGGCAGTCAGATTGTAATATCCTGGGGTACAGCGTGGCCAGGTGGAGCGCTACCTTGGAACACAGCTACTCGCAGCTTTGGTTGCAACCACTGCGGTCGCAGCGGTTGCAGCCACAAGATTTGGCAGGTCGGCTGAAATAGGAATGCTGCTGGGGTCTGATGCCCACGCTTATGTCGTGAGCCTTTTGTTTCCCGGCGCTGATGTTGGGCACAAGCATTGATGCGTTGGCAGCTTCTCAAGAGCACCTAGCACATTGACATGTCCGAACGCAACCCGCAACTGCAAACATTTGAATGGCTATGATATGAATTCATTCATTCACAACACTATTGCACTGAGGCAATTATGTACTGTTTGGGCACATGGTCATGTGCAGGAAGCGGCTTGAAGGGTCATGCAAGTTGTGTATCGACGACCTGTTACCTGGATAGCTTGATGTTTCCCTGACAGTGTTGTACCTGCCATGCTCCTGAGGCAAAAGAGACTAGCACGAGCCAGGATGTCATGGCAGGGGATCTTGACGTGTGCAGCAATACCTTGTTGAACATGCAGCCGGCCAGTGCGGCCTGCTGGTGAACCACCGTCTCCTTGGTCAGGCATTCGCACTCGTGTAGTCACCAGGCATCGTTGTCGTCACCGCGCGATGCAGCACGCACAACCGCATCCACTGCTGCCTGGCACGGCCGGCCAGCCTTTGATTGACTTCTGATTTACCATCGTTGAATTGCTGAATTGTATTGTAATAAGCGGGCTGTCAGCATCGCGGAGATCTAGCGCAGCAGCAGCAAGCCTCTGAACAACAGCTTGGATTTACAGAGCGAGGAGGGGAGGGATGGCGGCCAGCATGCGCGCATCCATTGGCGCCGGGGCAGCGTGCACATCGAGCCGTCGGCTTGCTGCTGCCCCGGTCCTGGCTGCCGGGAGGCTGCAGCGCGCTGTAGGACGTGCTGCGCAGGGCCTGGGCAATCGCAACAATGATATACAGGTGAAGTCAACGCTGGTGGTCGTTTAGAGGGCCAGATCGAATTGTGTTTCGGCACCCGCTCAACCCGCCGCCCCTGATGATACGCACAGGCGAAAGCCACTACTCAACCCCTCGAGACACCCAAGGTGCGCGCTTGCAGCTCGCCGCGCCAGCCGTCGACAGGTGCCACCCGCGCCACGCGCAGAGAACTGCACGCCGCCTCGCTGCGCCCTCGCGCCCCGGCATGCCCCAGCCGGCCCCGCGTCACGCGCGTCGCCGACGTGCTATCCGCAGGAGGATTATGACGTGTATGTGTCTGAGCCCGAGCCCCTGGAGGAGGGCCAGGAGAAGCACGTGATCTCAGTCTTTGTGGCGGACGAGGCCGGGCTCATCAACCGCGTCGCAGGCGTCTTCGCGCGGCGAGGTGCGGCATCGGAAGGAGGGGAGGCGGCGGATCGACGCGCCCCAGCGGCGGCGGCCGCGGGGGCGGCCGCCCGGCGTGTTAAAATGGAGGGCAGAAGGCGCCTCGGCCGGGGCACGGTGGCGGCCTCGCCCGTCCCCACCTTTCTGTTCTTATTCCCCAGCCCTTGCAAACCGACCCTCTCAAAACACGCACGCACACACGCATGCACGCACACACACACACACACACACACACACACACACACACACACACACACACTCACTCACACACACACACACACACAAACACACACCCAGGCGCCAACATCGACAGCCTGGCGGTCGGCCTTAACGTGGACCGGGCACTCTTCACTATCGTGCTGACCGGGACACCCCACACAGTGGTGCGGCTCCCAGCCTGCCCTTCACTGTTCACATTCATCCACATGAAGAGGCTCAGCCCCGCTGCTCCGCCTGGCAAGGCACTTGCTTTGATATATCACTGTGCGTTCAAGAGGGCCCGCTGCAGGCGCAGCCAGCGAAGCTCCGTTTGCAGTCATTAGCCACCCCTCCGCCGCGGCAACTCTGCCTGCCCCCCCCCCTCCCAGTCAAACCTGGTCAAGCAGCTGTCGAAGCTGGTCAAGGTGCGGTACGTGGAGGACATCACCCTGTCCAAGAGGGTCGGTGAGTCAGCGGCAGCGGAGAGGGGTGGGGGGTGGTGGGGTGTGTGTG